ATAAAATTATTCATGACCGAAAAGATTACTCTATGTTTTCTTACATTACCAATCGAACTAATATATCGAGTTTTGGATCATCTCGATGAATTAACAATTCTTCTTTCAATTCGAAATGTTTGCCAACGATTCAATGCAATTATAGACACATATTATCGATATCAGGTAAAAATATTTAACAAGCTAAAGAGACTATGGAAGTTTGAAATATGTGCTTAAATTTATATAGACATTCACTAGTTGTAATTTTGCTTATAAACAATTGAATTATCAAATCCTAGAAAATCTTACGAATGCATTACAAACAAATACAGTAAGATTAATTTGAATATATCTTTACTATTGTTATTTTACATAGATACTCAAAACTCTTACTTTTAATAATAATCAAATAGGAGATGAAAATATTCAATATATAGCTAATATATTACGAAATAATTCAGTAAGACCAGTTTATTTACCGACTATTACAAATTCTTTTTTTTTATTCATAACAGACATTGACAACATTAAATATTTATAGTAATCAAGTAGGCCCTGCAGGAGTATTCTATTTAACTAATGCTCTACAAAACAACGAAGTAATATAAGTTTCCTTCCTACTACCTATTAATTAAATATTTTTTATTCATATTGAGTTCAGACACTTACGACGTTAGATCTCTTTGATAATCATATAGGTAATGAAGGTGCCAAATATTTCGCCGATATATTAAAAAACAATAACGTATGAATACGTTCGCTATACATATAATATATATTTATGATAGTTATCCAATATAGACACTTTTGACGCTCAATCTTCCATCAAATAATATCGATGATGAAGGAATAGAATATCTGGCTAAAATACTACAAAGTAATACGGTTAGTTATTCTTGTACTTTGTATATATTACTATTGTTATTTTTAGACATTGACAAAGCTTGATTTACATCAGAACGAAATAGGCTTTCAAGGAGCGCAGTATATATCTGATGCACTTCAATGTAACTCTGTATAACAAACTTTTGTCACTCATCAGTTCTATATTTACAAACATTCTTTGATGTAGACACTTACTATCCTCAATCTTAATTGCAATAGAATCGAAAATCAAGGAGCTCAATATTTAGGTATTGCATTACAAAATAATAAGGTACAAGTATAGTTTTGCTCATAAACTCTTTACTCAGAAGTAAAATTTATTATTAGACACTGACAACACTTAATCTTCAAGCGAATAATATTGACAATCAAGGTGTTCAATATTTAGCGAATGCATTGAAAACTAATATGGTAATGAATAGAAATTTCAATATTCTCTCTTTTGATATCTAAAGTTTTTTATTAATCTCTTATATGCTTATCAATTAATTAATTAAATAGACACTAATGACACTCGATCTTCAAATGAATATAATCAGTTCTAATGGTGCTCAATATTTGGCAGATGCTTTACAAAATAATACAGTATACAGCTTCGTTTCTTTTTCATCAGTCTTATTGCTTTTTATTGTGTAATATAGACAATTACAATTGTTGATTTACAATGCAATAGAATTGGCGATGAAGGAGTAAAACATTTAGCTAATGCATTACAATCTAATCGAGTAAATTGAATTCTTTGTGTATTAAAATCTATTCATTTCTTTTTCTTTTCAATATAGATTATCGTAACGCTCAATTTTCGCTCGAATCTCGTCTGTGATGATGGAGTAACATATTTAGCTAGTTCATTGCGAATAAATACAGTAAGGAAATATATTTCGTCCTTCGATTTAAATACTGAATAGTATTTTTTTGATATAGACGCTGTCAAAACTTGTCCTTTCTGTAAATCAGATCGGAGATAAAGGTATTGAATCTTTATCAAATGCATTACAAACTAATATGGTACGATAATTTTTTTAAATATCTATATTTATAAATATTATTTGTTATAGACACTCATAACATTGAATCTTTCTAAAAATCAAATAGGTTCTCAAGGAGCTTTACATCTAGCAAATGGATTAGAGATCAATAAAGTAAAATAAACTTTTCTCTTATTTGACATATAATTATTTCGTTATTTCGATACAGTCTCTTGCAACACTCAATCTTTCTGACAATCATATTGGTGATGAAGGAAGTCAAGCTCTAGCAAATGCATTACAAATAAATACAGTAAGAAAATTGTATTACTATTATAGTTTATAATCATAATCATTATTAAATACAGACACTCAAAATACTTGATCTTGGAACAAATGGAATCAGTGATCGAGGTGCACAGTATCTAGTTGACGCATTACAAGTCAATACGGTAATAGAACTTCTTTTACTTATCTATCATATACATAATATTATTATTCTTCAATATAGACACTTACAACATTCGATTTTACATGTAATAAAATCACTTATCAAATGGTACAATATTTAACTAAAATATTAGAAAGAAATTCATCATATAAATAATTTCACTACTAATTCATTTTCATATTATACTCGAAATGATGAGAAAATATTTCTTAAATGTATTCTTACTTTGGTACTATTGTAATAACACTATTTTTCAATACTATGCCATTTCGAAATACATGTTATGCAAATTTATTTTGATCAAAAGAAAATAATATTATACATATATTTTTATAATCTCAATTCTTTGTTTTTTTTTCATAGACATCCAAATTATTTGTTTTCTTACATATCATCTTTCTTTACCGTCAAGTTTCTTATCTCATTATATTCTTATCTTTATTCTAGCACAGAAAAATAACAAATAAAACCTTTAAAATAGACACAAACTCTTCATTAACCTTGCGAACAATAGCAAAAAAATATTTATAAGAATTTCAATTTTATTGCTTAATTAAACACGAAAACAAGATTAATTTTAGTAAATGTATATATATAGTCCGTCCATTATTGGACTAAGCTGGCTAAAATAAAATAAAATAAAAATAATTGGAAAATATTATATACTGGTATGTGAACTTACAATAAAATTCATAATAATATGAATTTCACCATGGGATGATAATCCGAAATTAGCTGGTAATTTAACCCATTCGTTAAATCTTCCATCATCAAAGACATGTTTCAATTTAACTTTACCATTTCCAATTGAATCTTTACCAACAACATCAGCATCATAAACATCAAAATGAATTACATCATCACCTTTTTGAAGATTAAATGTAAAACGTTCATTCCATGTTGGATTATTTGTATTGGAAATTGTTGTTGTACGTTGTTTATATTTTTTATCTAAATAAATCTCAACATAGGCATCATTTTGACCAACAATATCACGATCTTTAAGGTTACGTCCTTCGACAATAACTACTTCAAGTGTACCAGCTGGCATTATTCGAGATGTGTTGTTTTTTTTAATAATAAATGTTAAAGAATATGATATTTGAATTATAGTTTGTGTTTATATACGTAAGAAAAGGAGAGAACGCCTTCGAACGAGTTACTTTTCATTGTATATGATATGATTCGTGTTCTTATCAATTGACTGACGTAAGCAACATATTTACGTCTGGATGATTCATAGATGTGAAAATTGAAAACGTCAGAAAGAAAAGAAGGAATTGAAGTCAAATAAATATTGTTCTCATAGGATGAATCAGATTCTTTTGATTCGATTTTTATAGAATAATGACATCATAGACAAAGTTGATAATCATTATGAATAAATCATATTGACGTAGTTAATGTATGAATGACGTCAGAGATATTAATATTCATTGATAGTGTTATACTAATTTCAATATCTATCTATCAATCGTATAAGGGTAGGTGTGTCTCTCCTTTACTCACACTGATATTGCTTATCAAAATGTGTAAATGCTTTAGTTCTACATAACTAAGCAGCTTTCAAATTTTTTCATTTTTTTCTTATTATATATCTTAAAGATGGATGTGGGTAGATAGGGCGATCAGTCAAACACCCACACTCTCAAGACGCAGAATAATTTGTTGAATGATATTTTATTTACATGCATTGAGACAGAATAGAAATCAAAGTCTTGATACACAGTTGGTAAAAACTACTTCATACCTTTTCAATGTCACTGGCATGACTTAATTTGAGAACATTTTTTTGGCAACTGATAGCAAATAATAGTCTCATGTTTACAATCGAGACAACACGAGATTGCAGAAAGAAAGAATTCTAAGTAACACATACCACTTGGAGAATAAAAGAGTCGGTATAAGATTCATGCCACAGTTAGATTCTAACTCACATCTTTACCTCGGTTAAATTTCATTCACCAGTAAAAATCAGAGAAATTTTGATGTGTGTGATGTACGTCAATTGAATACATCTTAGTAGATTTACGCTAAGCTCTAACCACAGTGTGTAGTCCATAGGGAACTGCAAAATCACTTTTCTTCGGTCTCGGTCTTAATTATCCAACTGAGCTAATGTGCTTTTCTTTCATCTGCGAAATAATCTATGCAGTCCGTAAAATTTTTTAATATTTTTAATGTGAATCAAATATATAATATGTTTTTCTGTAGCTGCAACTGAAAAAATTGATTTACCATTTCTTAATCTACAAAGATTACACACAAGAAAATGTCTAGCTTATTATATGATAAAAAATTGACGCGACCAGATGACAATTCTGGCTCGGTCCCGATAAAAACAAACAAAAACGTCTTGATCCCGAAAGAAAATGGAAATTTAGTCCTAATACCGGGACCGGGACCACGTTGCAGTTTCATAGTAGTCCACCAATACAAACAAGTCGACAGTGATTTCTCTGATGATCGCATGATTAGATGCTGATTTAGAATTGAAGACATAGTCGAGAAACTCTTTGTTCGTAATAATGTTAAAAATAAAATCAATACGATCATGACTTTTTCGTGCCAGACGGTTTCCAATGATTCTGTGCAGCAGATTTTGACAATTTTCGTGTTTACTTTCGAGTCTGAGCCGATGGTCTACGACATAAGAATCGTGGAGTTCAACATAAAGTTCAGTAATTTCATGACATAGACCACGAAAGTCTATCATCAGTTTGAAGTCATCTTGACTGAAAAAGGTGTTCCTGTTAACGTAGAGTACGTCAACTTTAAGTATGGTTTTGATGATATATTTTACCAATTTGTCTGCTATCTCACTGTCGTCCCAAAAGCCTTCTACCAAGATATGCAGATTGTTTATAATTCGATTGAAACGTGTACTGAATAAAAATTTCGCAGTATATTTATTTGAAAATAGTCTAGTGAGTAAAAGAAAAAAGATTGTACATATTTTCTTAATTATATTTACTACTACAATACTCGTACTTGGCAGATTTTTTTTGAATACGAATCAGGAAACTTTGTGCCATAGTATTTGAGCTAATATTGCGAAGAAAAAGTCGTAAACCTTCTCAAGCAAAAAGTACACCGATATAGTCGTTCTAGAATGAACAAAATTTTTTTATGTAAAATTGTGTTAGCCTGTCTGTAGGGCTACGAGAGAATAAATAAAATTGGATATGAGTATATCTCATAGATTTTATTTAATACAAGGAACACGTATATCTATCACAGAAAAATGAATGGTATATATACCAAAA